TAGTCCCTTTAATTTTTTTTATTGTTTAAATTAAGTCTCACCTCCAAATTTTATCTTTTAGTGCCACTTAATGCCTTTTTTTTTTTTTATCGTATTGGTCTAATTGAATAACAAAATTATAACATTAGCGTAACTTTTAAATATTTTATGCAAACAGAGCAAGTTATATTTGCTATGTACAACTTATTTTGTTTGTTTTAAAATTTAAAAGTAGAAATTATAATTGTGATATACGACTATTTTTTTACGATTAAAATATCTTTTCATGTTCAATTTACATTACTTTTTTAATAAAAATAAATAGTAATAAAGTATAACTTCTCTCCAAAATTGTATACAGCAACAATACCTTTTACATTTAATTTATAAAATAAAATAACTGGATGAATCAACCACAAACAAAAATTTTGTACCTTGCAATTAAATTTTGGTAAAATTAGAGAATTGGTTAATAAAAAAAAAGAGATTAAAAAAACTAATGGTATTCATACATGCACTACTGTGTACTAAATTAATTTAATTTCTTTTATTTTTTATTGTATTGTTTGAATAGTAAATGCAGAGATACAAAATCATTATTGACAGCTAATCCATCCAACGTATTTTTATTTGAATTTTAAATATTTTATTTTATAAATCAAATTAAAAATCAATGTAAAAATCATTTTGTTGAATATAAGGAGAGAAGTCACATATTTTCCATGTACGATTATTTATTTTTTAAAATAAAAAAAATCAATGTAAGTCTGACATGAGGGTGTTAACTTTCTATTTTTAAATTTTCTTAATATTAAATTGGTAATTGTATATCACAAATACAACTTAGATTGTGCTTAATAAGACTAGTTGCAAAAGTAGCTTTGTTTGGTAAAATAGCAAAAATAGATAGTTAATTACTAGCACTTTTTAAGCATTACTCTAATTAACAATTTTCTAAATATTATATTTTCACTTACTAGTTAATTAATTTTTCATTTTTGTCTATATTAATTTTTAATAATTTTTTATTTTACCTCTTCAATTTTTAAAACTTTATTACATTTACTTCTTTCAGATTCAACTTTTCTAAACAACTTTCATCATTAAATCTCATTTAAAAAAAACTAAACCATTAAATCTTACTTTAATTATACAAATTTATCAAATTATAATATAAAATAATTCATTTTATTTAATAAAATAATTTTAAAATATTAAATATTTATAATGATTTAAAACTATATCATCACTAAATTTCAAAGTCTTCACTAAAAATATCTATTATTTTTAATTTATCACCTAGTTCAGAAGCTAATTTTATTAAATATTTTCAATTCAATTAACTAATATTTTTTTAGCTTCATTTCAATTTTAAGCTTTTAGCTAGTTTTTCTGGTTTCATTTTGATGCCGTAACTTCTTGTTAGAATTTGTCCTTTGCCAGGTCAATGTAAGAAAAAAAAATTACTAACGGTTATATTTTATTAAATTAATATATTTAGTAAAATAATTTCATAAAGAATAAAATTAATTAGATGAAAAATAAAATATTTAGAATAAATAAAAAATTTATTTGTTCAAAATAATCAGCATATACTATATTAAATAATATAATTACATATTACTATACTAAAAATAAATTTTTGGAGCGCTAATTTAGACAACAGTTAATAAAAACCGCTTTGTAACTAAATATGTAAAGAGCGGTTCTCTTTTCTATTAACCGCTCTCAAATTTATACTTTTGAGAGTGGTTAATAAAAAACCGCTCTCAGATCTATACTTTTGAAAACAATTTTTATTAACCGCTATCAGAACTATACTTCCGAAAGCGGTTCTCTACTAATTATTTTCTAATGTCACATTGGAGAGCGGTTATTAAAGAACCGCTCTCTAAAGTCATTAAAAGTTGTTTATAAATAAAACACGTTCAACGCATTTATTCTTCTTAGTTAACGAAGTTAGTCTCTTTTACCGTAAGTTCTGTTCGTCTTCTCTGCTCTAGTACGTTCTCATCTTTTCTATTAGCCTATTCTCTTTATCTTCTCTCACTAACAAATTAGTTATTTTTTTCCCACATATGTAGGTACCTTTTTATTCCCTGTTAGCCTGCTCTCTTCATTTTCTCTATGCTAACAATTAGTTTTTTTTATATATGTAGATACCTCTTCATTCTATGTTAGCATGCTCTCTTCATATTTTCTGCGCTAACAAATTGGTTTTTTTTTCACATCTGCAAGTACTTCTTCATTCTCACTTTTTTTTTCTTCTCTTTATTAATGGTGAATCATCCATTATCTCTTTCTTTGTTTTTTTTTTCTCTATTAACGTTAAAAATCATCTTACTAATTTTTTTCCCTATTTGAATGATGTAGATGTGGACTGTTTGCTTAACACCAAATGTATAAACTCAAGATTTAATTTTGATTTGTGATAAAAATAAAGAAAAGTCATGAAGAAATCAATTTCAAATTTTAATTTAAACATAATAATACATTAATTTTACTTTGCAATAGAAAATTAAAAAAGAAGCCAATTTCAAATTTCAGATTCACGGTCTACATTTTTACTTTAGAGAGCGGTTCTACATGGAACCGCTTTCTAATCTTACACCTATACTTTGAGAGCGATTTTGTATGAAACCGCTCTCCAATCTTAACTTTTGAGAGCGGTTATTTTGACCGCTCTCTTAAATATAACACATCATATAGCTCATGATTTTAGAGCAGTTCTAAACACTCTAATTTAAAACAGAATTGCTCTCAGATCTCTATTCTATCGTAGTGTATCATAATAATATTATAAATATATATCATCTATATTAACATGTTATTTTTTTATTAGACAATAATTTTATTGTAAGAAATGTCAATACATATTATTTTTTACTATTAGTGGGCCACACCTAAATAAAAGGTGAAACATTGAAAACGGATGAAATAAGTACTACAAGCTCTGCAACTTTGATTTTTAGCGTGCTTCAGTGGAAGCAGGAAACACTCAGCGTGCACCTAAGGCTTTTCTGGATGAAGAATAGTGACAAATGTTTTAGCGTAAAATTGTACATCAATAAAATTTGGTGGACATTGGATTCACTCCATCCAAACTTTAGCGTGAGTCTTCGCTTCTAAGACCCATTGAATCTGCTTCATGTTAAGAATGATAACTTGTCCGGCTAAGTGTGAGAGTTTGATGATATATTTGTGATGACATTTTAACCAGCGTAGTAAAATATATGATAAAGATATTTTAATAAGTTCCAAAGCAGGTGAATTACACTTTATGCATTCTAAATATAAGTGATCTGGAGTTCCTGGTGAATGAGTTATCTTTACGGAGCTGGTGCGTCAAAGACAAGGATGATACACTTGTAAAAACACTTTAACGAGTAATATCAGGATATAGAGTATATATTTTATTAATTGATATGTTATTAGTTATATAATGTTTAAATGGAAACACACAATCATTGTACGAAAGGGAGCCACATAGTAGGTCTGCACAACATAACGGTATAGTATTTTTTAGGGTTAGAAAAAAAAATTAAAATTTTTTTAGGGTTTGCTTCGAGTAAGATAAAATTAGAATTTGTAGAAGGAAAGATTTTTAATGAATTACGATTTAAAAAAAGAATGAATTTTTAAGGTTAGAAATGTTAGAACTTTTAGAGTTTAAAAAAAAAGGAAGATTTTTATTGAATTAGGGTTTGAAAAGTAGGATGGATTTGTAGGGTTAAAAAATGTTAAAACTTTTAGGGTTTGAAAAAAGGAAATTTTTTTTTTTAGAGTTAGAAAATATAAATAGAGAACAAGAGCGAAACATACAAAATAAGTGAAGAATAAAAACAAACACAGAAAAAAAGAGCTCTTATTTAATCTAGCAAATAAAATTTTTTATCAACCTCTTATAATGATTTAGAATTTATAATTAAATCTCTCATTCAACCCTCTAAGTTTATTCTTTTGTATTGACCTCAAAATGTGCTTGGAATATTTTTAATGCCTTCAGGATGTTGACTTTTCTACAACTATCTTTTCTATTTTTGTTTCAAATATTCTCAGAGTTTTGATCTTTTCTTATATCCTCCCTCTCTTTATTTTTTGAGCTCTTTCTTAAGTACTTTTTTTTTTTTTTTTTTATCATTGTCTCTCAAATTCTCCCAATTCTCTCTCTTTTCTCTCTATTATTTCTTGTGTTTGCAAATAAAATGTGTTCTTTGTAGGAAGACTAAAGTTTCTTATTTATAACTACTTTATAAAACTCTAAATCTCATTTTATTAAAATTTTATTTTAGAAAATAAAAGACTCTAACTTGTTTATATTTTGAGTACCACTATTCCACCCTCCTAAAAATCTATCATTTTCTATTTATTTCTTTTTACTAACCTACTTATTTGACAACTAGAAAAATATCTACTTATTTTTAAATTCTAACTTCTTATAGAATCTAAAATTTAAAATAATCTAATTTTTATTTTTTAAAATTTTAAATTTATAACTCGTAACTCACTATAGAATCTAATTTTTATTTTTATTTTAAATATTTAAAATTTTATTTAGATAGATCCAGATAGAATTGGATATTCACGAATATATTTACATTTATATAATATTTTATAAAATAGTAAGAAAATTAATAAAAATATATCATAGAAAGATATAACACCACTCATAAAAAATTTGAAATAGCTGAAACCGAATTGTTATCACAATCAAAAGGGACCAAATTAAAGTTTAACCTTTTTTAAAAGCATCCTTCCACGCACTTATAATATGAGATTAATATTTCCAGTTACGACTTATATATTACCTTTAACAATTAACAGAAACATCCTTTCTATAGGTATATAATCCAACATAAGATTTCATGCAATTAAACAAAAGATGCCGTACGTAGTGGAATTAAGTTACATAAAAAGTTAAAGATTTGGACTTGAGGAAAAATACAACGAGCAAATTAATGCGATACTGCGTCTCAATCTCAAAGTAAATGCAAAGGAGCAACACAGAATCTATATTTTGGTTAACTTAAAGGGTTAATTTGTAGTTTGGAGGATAGTAACCACTTGGTGAAATTTTGCAGTGTAGCTTCGTCGGCTCTGTAGTACTTTTGTGTGAATTCAAGCAAATTAGACCACGTGAAATCTGGATACTGTTTTGTCCCATCCCTACGCACAATATCCTCTGGGGCTCTCACCATTTTGTCCTCTTTTGGGCACAGAAAGAATGCCAAGGACCTCCTCTCTTTGTACTTGTTAACCACCGCCCTATGTAGGCAACTCTTGTATCTTCCATTTGATAATGCCTTAACACAACCAACAAATAAGTTAACATTCATGCACATGATGATACCTTGTCTAACCTGATTCATACATATATTATCCAAAATTATTCACCTCCATTTATTCAATATACGTATGTGTTTAATATTATTCGCACGTATACTTGAATATGTCGCGACTTGTGCAATGATACCTGCAACTGCTTCTTCTTTAGTCCCTACTCTTGACCGTTTCTTATAGCCTCTTTATGTAGCTCTTCTGATGATGGCGACCTTAACTTTTGTTCTTTAACTTATATATTAATCAAGTCATAATAATTTTGTCACCCATTTTATTTCTCAATCTACATCAATTAATTTAGTGAAAATATTATGTTTCATCAAATTAATTTTTTCATTAATCAAGTCATACAAATAATTTGGCACTCATTTTATTCTTAACCTAGAGTAATTTAGTGAAAAGAATATGCTTTCTTGAATTAAAGTTCTCATTAATCAAGTCACAAAACAATTATTGTACTTATATATATAAGTTAATCAATACTTAGCTAGGAGTCTGTAACGGAGTTTATTAGTAATCCTTATACTGATTGTTAATTTTATAATAATTATTATTATTTTATTTTAAAACACTCAAGACCTAGGGGTGAAATTAACGAAAAACCACATAAAGACGTTGAGTACTTGTCTCTGAAAATAGAAAGAATTGCGTCATATATATATATATATATATATATATATATATATATATATATATATATATATATAATATAGAGTTTATACATTTCAGAGCACGACGAAGTTTCGACCATTTTGACATTTTTAATAAGTTTTTGAACATTAACCAAACATTTGTGTTTTTTTTTTATTATTAAATCCACTTTAAAGTGTTTGACAATAATTAAAAAATAAGAAAATTCTTCCACTAAAGAGACATTTTGGTAGCCAGACCCGAACTAATAAGAGTCATTCCCTAACTAATATCACAAAAAGAAACTATTAAATTAAGGGAAAAATGTCCTTGTCTATTCCATATAAACTTTTTCTTTCAAACTATATACCTGCGAAACTGTTTAAGGCGAATAACGGTTAAAAAATGGCTCAAATTTTGATCTTTGACTACGTTACTAATAAATTAATGTAACTTTTGTGTCTAAGATGATACTATATTTAAGTTAAAATCATTCACAGGAAGATATTTTCTTTTTTAAAAGAAGAAATCAAACATGTACAAATAATCACGTAGTTTGATAATATTGCTGTTTTAAAACTTTTTTATGTGATGTAAAATTATGTCATTATTATTAAAAGTTTCACACACACACACACACTATATATATATATATATATATATATATTGGTGAAATTCAGTATAAAGACTTATCATGTCAGATATCCTGAGCAGAGAGGCAATCTTGATACACAAAAGTATCTGCGCATTTAATTGATGTATTTGTCATGTTGCAACAGATAATATGGCCTATGCATATGTAATGTATATTTTGAACGTACCGTGAAAGTGTCACCAATGTTAACTACAAGGGCATCATGACGAGGTCTAACCGTCTGCCACTTGTTGTCTGAAAACACATCAAGGCCTCCAACTTGATCTTGGTGAAGTATGGTTAGTGATGTTGGGTCACAATGCGGTCCCGTCCCTAGTGCAAGACTTGGTTCCTGGCATGATGGGTAGTAGTTACATCTCATGATGGAACAACCATCTTCAAACATGTCCTTATAACTCAACTTATCCACTCCCAAGCTAGTAGCCAAAAGCTCCAACAGCTTCATTCCCAACTCCTTCATAGCTTCACAGTACTTTTGGAATCCCACCCTGTGGAATGCAAAACAAAATATTTGGTCGAAAGGTATAAAGATATAATATTTTTCTTAAAAGAATGTAAAATAGATAGCACATGACAAGGTATTAAGTAAATATTAATTGATGTCTGAGATAGATATTTTTGGAAATATTAATTTTAAAATGTTTCCAAAAATTTTAGAAAAATAATATATTAAGTAAACAACTTAATTAATTGTTTATTTAACAAGCTCTTTATAAAAATTGTTTATATCATACATTTGATAATAGAAAGTTAAAAAAATTATTTTTATAAATTATATAAAAATTTTATTTAATAAGTTAAAAAAGAATTGATAAGAATCATAACTAATTTTATTAAGTCCCAACTGTCTCCTTAAAAAAAAAAACTTTTAAAGTGAAATTTTCATTTTAAATAGAATTATAACTTAATATTTCTATAATTTAATTTATTATACCTATATACGTTTCATTATCATCTCAACGGTTAATTAAAAAATTGTTATTTCCTAAAAATAAGTTGAAGCAAATTGTCTTACCCAGCGTCATCGAAGTCTTTCCCTAAAGTGGAGTTAAAGTAATTGGTGACAACTGGTTCTAAGGTTTTGTCATGGAAGGGGAAAGATAAGGTCTCCTTCCATGGCAATTTGGAGGAAAACCGGTCAGCATGGGCACCAGAATAACCCCACATCGAACCTGCTTTCTTGCGAACACATAGTTTCCTGTGAATTGGGAGCTTAAAAAAAGCGTCCATTTGATCATAAGCTTCATCAATTAGGAGTGAATCAACCCCATGATTGATCACTTGGAAAAATCCATGAGTTGAGCATGCTTTGCGTAGGAGCTTAACAGCAGAGTGTGTGGCCTCATCATCACCTCTTAGGAACCCTTCAAGGTCTACCAATGGAGCTTGGAATTCTTCATTGGCGTCCGCTAGACATTCCTTTGGCCAAACGAAGTTCATGGGAACGTGGGACTGCGTTTGTAACCAAGATGGGTCAAAGAAACGACTTTGAACCTCTTGGTGATTCAGTGAAGACACCAAACAAAGACCCGAATCCATGGCTAGTTAGTGTAAAATTATAGCTATGATATAAATTGAGGAAGGGACTTCATTAATTAACACACAAAAAGAGTGTGTAGCTTGACTAGTTTGGTGTTAGGGTGCATAGGCCAAGGAATGGTATGTATTTGTAGTGTGAGACATGGAATGATGCAACCTTATCGCAAGAAACTTACAAGAAACTGAGAGAGCCTTGGAAGTGGAAAATGATTTAAAATTAAAAGGTAGAAAAACTACTGTCGTTCCTGCACAGTAGCTAGCAGTTCTTACGTTCTACATTTATTTGTCGAGCTAGGGGTAAAAGGGTAACAAATGAAAGAACAAAGATAGAAAAAGTGAAAAACTACTGTCATTTTCCGGAATAAAAGAATATTATTAAGTCCTTATTATACATCATTAAGAAAAACAGAGCACTTTAATATTATTTCTTTATTTACTAAAGAGCATATTTTTATCCGTGGTATGGACATGAGTTTCGTCTCCCTCACTTCATCACCACTGAAATATAATCAAAACACATGTATAAATTTCCACAACATCAAATATATAATTAACATATAAATATAAACTTCCATAACATTAAACACTATACAACACAAATGATATTATAATTCATATACATTAATTGTATAATTGTAATCTATCACTTTTTTACACACGCACTTCCTCATGCACTGTGGCTATAGTTACAAATTACCTCTTATATTTATAATAATTTTATATTTTTATTCTTTATTAATATTTATCCTGTTACACTATATTTATATATTAAAATTGACAACTTTTAATCATACTATAATTATCTATATTATATGCGATCATACCTTTCCTTTTCTAGTATCCTTTTTTTCCTACAATCCATAAGAGTCGTGGCTTGGTTATTCAATATACTGTACAAGAATTTTAAGAATTACAACCGAACATTAAAGTAAAACAAAGCAAAAGCATTAAAAAAATGTTAAACAACTAAAAACCTAAAGAATTTTGCTTGAAAGTCCCTTCTTAGGCTTGCCAAGGCATGCTTATAGCCTCCAATTTGTGGGGAACTTCTTTGTCAAGGTGAATCTTTTGCCAAAAAATCTTCAAATGCAGCTCCATTGAGTTCCTCCAAGAAAGAAACGCCATAAACCCTAAAAACTTAGAAAAATCTCCATTCTATATATTTTTGAGTAAGAAAATCAAGGAATTTCAAAGATTTTTGAGTGAAAAATGTGTGGGATTTTAAAAATGCGAGAGAATGCCTGAAAAACTCAATAAAAAATCCTTTCAAATGAGACTTGTGACTCCTTTTAGAAATATATGCAAAGTTTACTTAAGTAAATTCAAATTCGCTTAATACATACACTATGTAAAAAGGAGATGTGAGAGCAGTTCTGTTTTAAATTAAAGAGCGATTAGAATTGCTCCAAAATCTCGCGCTATCCAATGTGTTGCATTTAAAAGAGCGGTTAAGATTGGAGAGCGCTTACACACGAAACCACTCTCTAAAGTATGAGTGTAAGATTGGAGAGCGGTTCCACACGAAACCATTATCTAAAGTATGGGTATAAACTGCGAATCAGAAATTTAAAATTTATATCTTCATGAGTTTTTGTTGCAAACTAAAATTAATTTATTATATTTAAATTTTAATTTATAGATCTGACATTTGAAATATCTTCATTTCTATCACAAATCAAAATTGAATCTTGAGTATATATGTTTGTTTAACCAAACAGTTCATATTTACATGAACCAAACACAAGCAAACAGAGAAAAAGAAAACAAATTAGTAGGATGATTCACCATTAATAGAGAGAAAAATAAAAAAAGAATGGATGATTCAGTATTAATAAAGAGAAAAAGAAACAATGAGAGAATAGAGAGAAATGTGAAAAAAGACTAATTTGTTAGCAAGAGAAGATTAAGAGAGCAGAGAAGACCAAAAGAACCTGCAGACATGAAAGAGACCAAAGACACCAATTTTGTTAATGCATAGATGAAGAGATTCATGAGTTAAATGTGTTTCATTTATAAATGTTAAAGACTTTGAAGAGCGATTTTTTGTTAATTGTTCTCCAAGAATGAGATAACAGTTCTTTACTAACCACTATGTTTTTATAAGTTTAGATTTGATAGCAGTTTAATGCTAACCGCTCTTTAAATATATTATTATAAAGAAATTTTACTAATCGTTGTCTAAGTCAATGCTCCAAAAACTTACTTCTGACATAGTGATAGGTTAGTTTTCTAAACCAAGTAAATTGTTGCAGCAAAAGAGAAATTTTTCTAGTCAAAATTCACTTAAGTAAGTCTATTTTGGGAAGAAAGGAATAAGTTTAGAGAAAATTATTTGATTAAGTGAAGGAATTTTTATTTTGCAATTTTTTTAACCACAAAATGAGGTGTTCACATAATTTGTTCTATTATTATTTTTTTGTTAGTTGTCTCTTTGCTTTTATAAATATCGTTCACTTGTACATAGTATATTGAGATGAATATGCACATGCATTTAAGCATTTTGGCTCGTTACCTTCCACCTTCTGAGATCCTTTTTCTTCTACGATCCATGAAAGTCATGGCTTGGCTATTCAACGTACTGTCACAGAATTTTAAGAATTACCGTTACCATTATTCTCTATTTCATAATTTTGGATCTTATAAAAGAACGGTATTAATAGTAATGTCCAATATTTATTTAATTTTAGTTTTTAAACCAGTGTAGTTAAGATTATGCCAAATAGTTGTCTTGAGTTTTAGTGCACAGACTTGCCAAAGTAGGGTCTTTTTGGGTTTTGTCACACCTATCTAGGCCCCCCATTCACAACATTCTAGGATTCATGAGCAACTAAAGATCAGATTCAAAGAAATATGTTCAATGCCAACTTATTAGCATTTATATAGCTTAATAGATTATTATTTATTGTGATTCTTATATGTTTATTATCGCTTTTAAATAAGTAATTTTTTAAATGCCGTCCTTAGATAAGCATTAGTTAAATAGAAGTGGTAATAGAAACTTAAAAAGTGACAATAACCAGTTCTTAAAACATAGACTAAACTAGACATATGTTATTAACATTATTTTATTAATGGGGTTATGACCATCTATACAATCCTATTTTCAAGCTGGAGGCCCAAGGCTAAGATTGCCAAGTTGGAATGGAGTGCCCAACCCATTAAAAAAAAATGGATAAAAGGAGATGTCTCACAGTGGACAACAAAAAGGAAATGTTCCCAGAAAAATCTAATGTCAGCGACCGACCAATTTAGGTTGTATACTGAAAACGCAATTAAAAAATTTAAATTATATTATTTAATATTTTTAATTTTAAAATATTTTATTTGGATTAAATAATTGAATTTTTTATTTCAAATATTTTATTTAAATAGATTAATTAAATTATTTACATTCTAAAAAAATAAATTATCATTACATTTAACAAAGTTAGTTAAAAATATGAAATTTAAATTATTAAATTTACCATAAATAAATAAAATATGAATGTAACACACAACAAATGAAACAATAATTTCAATTTTTCATTCTTTTGTTAGTTTAGAATTCTTTGAGTTTAAACTATTATAATTTTTCACTAAAATTTCTAGAATTTTAAATTCTTTAAAATTAAATATCCAAACAATAAATTTCAACTCATAAAAATGTAAATTATTTTAAAGAAAAGAATTCCTCATTTAAAATAACTCATCTAAAGAGACTCTTAAAGTTTAAAAAAAATTCAAATAAAATTGAAAAAAATGCATTTCCAGAAAATATGAGCTCTATTTGAAGTCCTACGCAGTTCTTGATTATTCCTGCACAGTAGCTAGCAGTTCTTACGGTCTATATGTATTTGTCGAGCTAGGGGTAAAACGGTAACAAATGAAAGAACAAAGATAGAAAAACTACTGTCGTTTTCCGGAATAAAAGAATAATATTAAAGTCCTTATTATATATCATTAAGAAAAACAGAGCACTTTAATATTATTTCTTTATTTATGGACATGAGTTTCATCTCCCTCTCTTCGCCACTAAAATATAATCAAAAAGCATGAATAAATTTCCACAACATCAAACACACAACATATAAATATGAACTTCCAGAACATATTTTTATCCATGGACACGGGTTCCATCTCCCTCTCCAACCAACTCTGAGCTTAAAAGATATACTTTAATACTTCGTCTTGAATTAGATACCTTAAAACAACATTGAAATCATTACAATTTGTTTGGAAAGAGAATAAATAAGAAGAAGATCCAGGAAGTGAACAACACCATTTAATAATCCACCAAGCAAAAGGAAAAGAACACAAGTTTACCCATAATTACAGTACATCCAAATCACCGAATTCACAACCATGAATTAAGTGTACACACAATGCTAATTGACCAAACATAATAAAATTAAATTTGATAAAAACAGCATACCCAACACCAGAACATAAAGCTAGCTCAACTCCATCCTCTAACCTTGCAAGAAAGGATACCGTATGCTTACTTAACAAACACACAAATACATACATGAAAGACAAGATAACTATGACAAATGAAAAAAGTGGAACCAGTTAAGGAAATAAGCACTCATGTCATTCCAAATCTGCTTCTTCACAGCACCCCTTTTTGGAGGCTCCATGGGTTTGAGGCCCCTCCCAGACCTAGTGGAGTCAGAGGCCCAAAGCTGTGGTTCATTTTTGTCGTTTACACCCTCACCCTCACTCTCACTCTCACTCATCTGTGCTTCTCTTCTGCCGTTTTGGCCCTGACTCGCACGCATTGCCTGATTCACACACATAAACTTGGAAGGAATTGCAAGTGGTTCTGATTCTTAGGATCTTATAGGCCAAAGCCTTCGGTTCCGAACCCCGACCTGGCGCATGCGGTGAAACGGTCTTTGTATGGGCCCCATTCAGCAAATAAATAATTTTTCATCGTATATGTATTGATGACGAAGTTAAAAAGCTTTATTACATATACCAGGTTCATTCATTATATACAAAATCAATCAAAATAATTATCA